CAAGTGGAAATGCATGTATAGTAAATAAACTATATAAATGCATGTGACTGGGGTAGCTGGCATGACATTAGCGTTAATTCGGAAGGATTCGGATTAACGTTTAGCGCGTGATTGTAGAAACGGGCGTTTGTGAACGATTGCACGATGATTTTGAGATTGCGTCCCGTCCATGGGCCGTCCGATCCGGGTCGGATGTCATCCATATGGGATATGATTGTGATTGTGGCGATAACATAATCGCGCCAACGTCCGAATGATAGGACGGTTATGGGCACCCCGATGACTTGCGTAGATAGCCGATTGTAGTCGGTACTATTGCGTGACGAGGAACACACGGTTCTTGGAACCGCGCCAACGTTTCCGTTAGCGACGGAGCGGACCCCGGGATATGAGTATCCCGAGGATAAGGGTATCACACATACCTGAGATTCTGGTAGATTGGGGTCTCCCGAGGAGGGGGTACGGACTTACGCTGGCAGGTTCGGACCCGAACCTGACAAGTATTTCCGCGGCGGATGGTCGGCGAGGGAGAGTTGCAGTGATGGGCTCTCTCGTTATAGTCGATGGCGTCGGTTATAGCCGACGTCTGGTGAGCTTCGGTATTGAGAGGTGACATCAATGCCGGAGTTGGGTGACACGCCTAGTATCGAGAGGTGACATCGATGCTAGGGTGGGGTGATGTGTTCGGGCGGAGAAAATAAAAAGATACTTATACCGGATTCCGAGTGGTTGTGGAGTAGATGGATTCCGAGGAGAGAGGTGGTTGTGCTATGCACATGGGGAGTACATTACCTACGTATGGTGCGTGTAGAGACAATTTGACGGACTCTGTCCTACGACTTGTCGTACGGACTTGATTGTGATTGCTGCATGCTTATCGTGATTCCATGTTTCATTCTTGTTTATTAGACTACTAGTGTATATATATGTATGTGATTTCCCTGGCACCATGAGAATAGAACTCCGGGTTACATCCGAGTTCACTCTCTAAACAATTAGCTTAGGACGTTGTTACGCAACGTTTCAGGTCATGAGCAGCAGTAGCCGAGGAGCGGACATCGGAGACCTGGGCAGTGTACCATTACCGATCATGTATAATTACGTATTTTGATACATTTATATTTTGGGAAATAGTTTGTGTTACATCGGTGGTAGACTTTTTAAGGTGTGTAATAAGGTTATACTACCACTTGATTATGTATAATTATAACTGGAAATAATATATCATATATGTATGTACGAGTGTTTACTTCCGACAACTCTGAAAAGAAAAGTTTTAAATTCCTGCGGATTTTCAGAAATTGTGTTTTTGTTTTAGTTGTCCATGTGACGCAACTCGTATTGCAGGATGCGGGTTTCGGGCATTACAATAATCATGTGTTAATATATATATATATATATATGTATGTATGTATATATAATTCTTCATCATCTTCTTCACCATGGAATTAAGGGTTAATATTTTCCAGTGGATTCAGAATCATATAAAAGAAGAGTTATTTTCAAGAAAAATAACTCCTAATTAATTTATAGTCTAAAGGTCGATGAAACTTAGAGATGGATGTTTCAGTTCGGTTTTGAAGAACCGAACCATACCAAACCGAAAATCTCAATATTTTTTTTCTGAATCGTATCATTCAAAATTCTTGAACAATATATTTTTTATAAAACCGAATTTCCCATAAGCGAACCGAATCGATCCGAACTTTATAAAATTTCCGAAAAAATCGTAATTTCCTTTAAAAATCTATATTTTTTTTTAACAAAAACCGAATCCGAACCGTATCGAAACTGGAACCGAACTAAATCGAATAATATACTAATTTGGTATAAATTTTAGAATGCCGAATAAATCGTTTCCGAATCGAACCGCTAAAATTCCAATAATCATCTATTGATATTTGACATTTGCATATCTATCAATTCAAATTTTGTATATAATGTTTTTATTTTGTTATATTTATAAAAATAAAATGATGAAAATAAAAAATATATTTTAAATATAATATATAAAATTAATGATAAATCATAAAACTAATGATAAATCACCTCAAAATTTTTATGTGATATTTTATTTTGATATTTTTATTAAGATAAAAATATCAAGGTTAAAAAATAAAATTTTAAAATATAAATATAATTGGTAAAATCAATTACATTCTTATTTTGCTACTTAAGTCGAAAATATAATATTATATTAAAAACATATAAACACAATTTCTTTGAAGAATGCAAAAGGTTATCAGACATTTTCCAATTTGAACAAACTCATATAATAATTAATTTTGGGCACCGTTTTTGTTTTCATTAGTGGGCTGGAGTGAAAAAAATAAAAAAATGATAGAAGGCTAATTTTTTTCAGAAATTTTGTATTTTTATATAAAAATATAAAATACATATTAGTTAGATCAAAATAAAATATGAACCGCAACAAATTTCGATATAAAACCGAATGAAGTAGATCTTTACAAAATTCGAATCCGAAAGGAATTGGAAGTTAGAACATAGAAATTCAAATGCCTCGAAATATGCAGAACGATGATAACCCAAAATATAGGGCAATCTATATAATATTATATTGCATATTGTTTTTGTTTAAAATAAAGATTAGAAAATTTTCAAAATCCTCTAAGTCACTCCCACACGCGCGCACATATATATATATATATAGAGAGAGATGAATAGATGATGAAATGCTGATGCCTCCCAAGTCAACGTGAAACTTTTAAAATGATACATAGAACAAAAAATATTATAAACCACCAAAGATGATATATATATAACTCACATGCATCAAGAAACTATTATTTACATTTTTCTTTATAGCTATCAAATGCTCCATTTTCTGTTTCAATGTTTTTGGCTTTGTATTCTTTCAGTACGGAGAATCTTCACTCATTTAACGGGAAAATATCCTGAAGAACATAGCAAAGAACAAATATTGGTAAATTTCAAATTGACATCTAAACAATGCAAAAACAATATTAAAAAAAAAGTTTTATTATAAGTACCTTCATAGTCAATGGCTTTCTTGGATTTAAAATTATATATCATGTTTCCGAGTTCTAGTGAATAAAAAAATAAGAAACTAAAAATTTATAAGGGTTTCATGTTACGTAAATGGTTTTAGAGGTAAAACCATTTTTATAAAGAGAGATAATGCATCTAAACAAAGTAAATGAAAATAACCTTTTACCAAGCAACTTGTGTCGCATAATCCATTGACTATGAAGATAATTGATCCACCTTAATCAACAACTTTTTCCACATCAGACCTGATACAAATATTAGAGAGGAGAGAGGGATATTGAGATTATTAATATTATTAATTTTTCCAACAGATCGTGGACGAGTGGTCAAGCTTGGAGATCGTGGATGAGTGGTCAAGCTTGGGGTAGAAGGTAACTCCACCTTGAGGTTGAGTGTTCGATTCCTGACTGGTGGGAAGGGCGGTAATTTTTAGGTTTATATGATCTATATACAAAGGCAGCTTCTGGGCCGGAGGTTTACCTAGTCAGCACGCCCGAAGGGTAGCAGATAGGGATCCTCCGTTATAAAAAAAAAAACTTTTTCCACGTCAGACTTGATACAAATATTAGAGAGGAGAGAGGGATATTGAGATTATTAATTTGAGCAAAATTGCTAGAAAGTTGTCGTGTCATTGTTTTCTTCCAAGAGAAATTTAAACCCTATTTATTAACTATCCATGACTTTTCAATACACCATAACATTTTATATTTAATTACATTTTGGAATTTTTCATTTAATTTCATTTAATATTTCATTTAACACACCATAAAATTTATAATACATTTCATAAAGGTATTATTACTTAGATTAATATTATTTATTTATTTACCCCACAACACCCACTACCACAATAAAACTAAAAATAAGAATAATTTCGAATTAATTATCTTAGATCAATATAAAATTACGTTGAATTTAATTGTCCTAAATCAATACGTAAGATGATGGTGTTATTATATAAAAAATGATGACATAGTGCTTAGTTGGATGATTAGGTGGTTTCACCCTATTCCTCCAAATCCAATTTTTATATATATAGATTTTATAATTAATTTTTTTTCTAAATAAAGATACATGTGGGTCCACCCATGCCAACTATATACATAAATATATATACACTCACGATTCAGCAGTCGTGCGGCATCCGAAGTGGAATGAAGGAACGATGGCAACGTTAGGACAAGAAGACAACTCAACGGATGAAATAAGGAACCTAATTCCTCTAATAATGTCGGAACACGTTGATACTGAGAAATATATCGATATATATATATACATGATCCAATCAAAGTTGGCCGAATAGTATTTGGTTGAAAAGAGTAGGAATGTCTTAGTTTCAAATCTCATTTTCGAGCGATCGAGAAGATGTACAATTTAATTGTGTTACACATGATGTTTCCGAATATTGAAAGATGGGGTTAGTTCGAATGATTTGTAAATTTTCTAAGTTAACAATATATATATATATATATATATATATATATATATATATATATATATATACACTCAATATGCAATATGGGAGATAAATAATGGGTTTTGTTTCTTTTGGTTTTTGCACATTGTAGAAACACTTTTGGAACATGTCTCTTCTGATTTGTGTGAGTAAATCCAATCTGATGAAGAGATTGATCTCTTAGCACATCAACATATGATGGCTTTGTCTCAGTTCCTGATGTTTTGCAACTTTTCCATCTCCTAACATAAATAAACATTATAAAATTAAAACTAATCATCTAAAAAACATTAACTTTATAAAATTTTTAAACTTTAAAAATATCACCATACTCCCCGTTAATCAATCAACCATTCACATGGGGACGGTACCAAAATTAAAAAGGAATCTTTTTTTTTTCCTCTCCCGAAATCTTTTTTTTTTTTTTGCTTTATTGTACCTGGTTGGAGTTTGTTGAGGAGACGTTCATCTGGATTTCGACCAGAAGAAGATCACAAAATGGGAATGTGTTATATAATATCATGAAGCAAAACCTCTCTATTCATTCATGGATTCATGGTTACTTTACAAAGAAGACAATTAGGGTTTCAGCCTTTCTTACCTCTCTCTCCTCAAGAACAATCAAGAAATCTGCTTTTTTTCTGATTGAAAAAGTTTTCCCTTTTTGTTTATATGTAAAAAAAGAAGAAGAAGGAGAAGGGAGATTACAAAGACCTCTGGACGAGATCGTACAAGGATATGGCGATCTCGGCACTGATCAGGATGATGATGAGCCATTCCAGAAAATCCGATTTCCTGTTCTGAAGAATTTCCTGCAGAAACCGAATGTTGTGCTGCGAGAATAAAACACCAAACCAAATTAGGGTTTTTCATTTTCCTTCTTTTGCATCACGCAGAAAGATGGAATGGGAGCGGAAACGAGAGTTACCTCTACAAACTTGAGCTTAAAATCAAGGCTTGCAAATCTCTGGGTCAGTTCGAATTCATCCCTAAGATACTCCCAAATCTGAGCATATTTGGCATCCTTCCACGCTATATCCGATCTTCATATTTTCCGATGGATCGAATCTAAGAAACAGAATCTATACCATTCCAAGTTATCTGATGAAAGATCGGTTTCGAGTCTTACCTCTCGAATAGCCCGAGCTTCAGAATGACATCGGCGAGATTAGAATTAGCTTTCCATACCAACTGGAAGAGCTTCTTCCTATCCATAGTGAATGTCCCGGTTTTCTCCATCCCACGATTTATGTCGGTAAATTCTGCAACCATACCATCAACCTACGAGAAGCAGGCAGTAAAAGTAAAACCCCGAATTTAACAAAAATCTAAGTACCACATTCGCACCACAGGAAACATATCCAGTCTTCACATGTATGTGTAAATATATACCTGGCGGCCATAGTAATCGAGCGCAATGCTCTGGCCAAGAACACTACCGATGGTTCTGATTCCGTCGATATTCAGGAACTGCAACATGATGTAGTCCAAACCGCCTTGCATCCACGTGTTCAGAGTCGGGTTCTCTCTAACTTCATATTCTGCGATTTTGCAATATCGAGGAAGAAAAATTCAGTACCGGGTAAAAAGAGATCTCTTGTTTCGGTTCAAGGGCATGAAAGAAATGGGTTGACAAGCTCACCATCCTTTCTCATTTCGGGAAGCAATCCTGAAGCATGTCTCTCCACAACTTTCAGATACTCATCAACCTCGTGTTCCCGTACATTAAACAAGACGATTGAACCGTACTGGAAAACTACCATGTAAACACTCTCACTCCCACTTATGCAACCACCCTTGCCCTGAAACGGCATTGATTTCAAAATCCTCGGGTAGTAAGCTTTCAGTACAAAATCCAATGGATCCAATAGAAGATGAGTGGTAAGAATTTTTGAACGACCAATTCGGGACCAAATGCATTGATCAATCAACAGGATATATACATCTCACTGGACATTGGTAACAAGAGCCGAGTTGGTGAAAACCAGTTGTCTAAATAGAACACACATTGAACTAAGGACAAAGAACCATTCTACTTACAGTGGGATCAGCATGGTTGCCGAACCGAAGAACGACATAGTTAGTCATTCTTGAAGTGGGTGGGATGAAATTCTGCTTGTTCTGATCGACTAAGCTTCTCAAATCAACACTGAAATACAATTGCAGCCACAAAATGATTCAACCATGGCTTCATCTAATACACAAATACAATCTCTAAGCTTCAATTTCAATACGCATCAATACACATCTAACAGAAACATGCAGTTGAATCCCCCAAATTATCATTCATCTTCACGACGAAGCAAAATAAACAGTAAAACCCACAAAAACTTGAGAAAAACTCCTGTAATAGTCTAATAGAGGGAATTCAGACCTAGTGGAGAAGAAGTAGGCTCGAACAGGAATAGAAAGCTTAGCATCCTCCTCGACGCCGTCATTATTACCATCCTCAACATCCAAGCACGATCCACTTTCACCCCAATCCACGGCATGTTGCTGCTGCGGCTGAGCTGAAGCGGCGGGGGGA